GGTGTTGAGTGTTCATGGGTATTTCCTTACAAATTGCAGTGTCGTAGATATTCACCAAATACATAAAATGAGAATAAAAACCGAAAAATAGTGCTCTCTATTTTATTGTTGTAAAAGCAAAATAAAAGGAGGTATAAAAATTAGGTTTTTGCTCAATCCAATGTGGAGTAAGTGGTTTCCTCTTTACCAAGGAGGTAAAAAGTATGACCCGCTTTCGGATAATATCTTCAGGTATAAAATCAAGAATGTCAAGGTAAAGTAAAAAACTAGTTTTATTTAAAACAAAGATAAAATCAATGGCATAAAAACACTATCGCGTTTCACCCAAAGGGGCTTTTTTTTCAAAGTGGCATTTCTCTAATTTTACCTTACCACCTATAGAATATACTACACTATATTCTGTTTTCTGTCTTCATATATTCCATATTGACTCACCACCATACAAGTTTGAGGACACCCAGAAGGCGCTTCTTCCCTGTACCTTTTTCCTGAAATATCCAAATGTTCCTGTGTGAAAGTGGTGCTTTATCCAGTCTAATTAACTGGACATCATAAGAGACAAACTTTTAGTTGGACTTCTCATTAAAGCTACATTGTGAAGTCTGTGACTAGACAGCCACAGAAAGTTTGGACAGGGTTAGAAGACTGCAGACAAGATTTCTACAGCTTTTGCCAGCATTTTTTAAAACATACCCCCAATGGAAGATTTGCATAATGAAATGCACACCTATTTTCATTGAGGTATAGCTACTGAACAGTGATTTATTTATTTATTCTATTTGAGAAGTGGAGTGTCCCTTTAAGTAATCATAAAGACAATATTCAATATGTTGCATTAACAGTATAAAGGATATACAACATCACATAAAACATATAAAATTTACTAATTGTATAGATTGCATTAAAAATATACAAAAACAAGTAATCCAAGAAAAAAAAAAGATGTTTTACGGTAGATGAAGAAAACAATTTTAATATATATTTAATAAGTGAACTGCTATCTTTTTGTGCAAATCCCCACACATTACATAAACGGCCTTGAACTTTGCCCACTCCAGGAAGTAGTCTGATCTATCACAGGAGCGGCAATGTAGAACCCAGTAACTCAGTGCTCCACAACCTATTCCTGTAGATATATCTGCAGTACAGGTCGTATCAGGATCCCCATAGAAAGTTGTTTCCAGTCTTGTTGGTAAATAGCTGCCATAAGCTGTTGCAATTAACAGCAGCCTATAGCCTGTAGCAGTTAGTAATTACCGTAGGTTCCAATGTCGATGCTATTTTATTACTGGCTGGCTGCCAAAAGATTCTGTCCAGTCATAGATTACCTACTTGTTCAATGGATGCAAAGATTTGTTGCAGATTAGCCACTTGCTGGTAAATCTCAGCATTATATACTGTGAAAGCTGTCACCGTAGCAACCACACCCTGCCGGTAAAAAAGGCTCACCCTGAGCATGTGTACTTTACTCCGTGAGTGGCTTTACCATGCCATAGCGACTATGTATCAACATATCAAACTATGTTAGATATATGTCTACGTAATCTTTGAGGTTAATTTCTGCATTAAATGGCAAATGCACTTTTTTTTTTTCATAGAAATAATCATTTTATATTTCATATCATATATGTGGCCTTTTCTTTAATATTATTGCAGTTCATATAGCTTTATATGCTCTGATACATTATTCAGGATTTCAATGTAATACCATATATTTTTCCTTTGTGACGGATAGAGATTTATCTGTTAGTAAGTTTTCCGACTTAGCGGCAGCTGTTAGACAGTAGTAACAATGTTGGAAGCCAGCTAGTAAGTAGCCACTAGAGTAAAATGGGAGCCAATAGCTGCTACTTAAATACTGGCTTTCACTAGCATCAGCCCATAACTAATTTTTGGTACTTGTGAAGTTATCCAGTAAGCAGCCGCTTCTTACTAACAGTAGTGACAAGCACTTTAGCGAGTAGTGGCCAGCCAGTAAAAAGTAGTATCAAAATTAGAGATGAACCCTTGATTGGATAATGTTTAAAGCGGCACTGTCATGCCAAACTTACCTTTCCTTAATCGCTTCCTCTTCTCTCCCTCTGTCTGGATCTGTTCTTCATTTCTTCCTGTCTGCTCTAGTTTTCTTTAAAACATAAGACAAAGTATGGACTACTTCGTCTTATGGAGGTATCCTACGCTTGACCAGCTTTGACAGCGGAGGAACAAAGTGTGCTGCGTTTCCTGTGGTCATAGCAATTTTTCAATTCTTACCTTTCCTCCATGATCTTGCGATGCTTCCTGTCAGTATTCCCAAACGTCCTGTCACTTAGACAGAACGCCGGCGAAAGCAATTAATTTTGTCCTAACAGATTGAGAACAGTTTCTCCATTCGTGTTAGGACGCAATTCGGGACTTTGTTCGGATCAGAATTTCATTTTATATTGGTATTAGGGAGCTATCTACCAAAAGGCTGAAAGACCAAGATTGGTTTTTCAACCAAATTTACTAATACTAAGTAAAGATTACTTAATATTAGTAAATTCTGCTCCTACTCGCTATATCGCAAGTAGGGGCATGTCTGGTAACAGTGAACATCCAGTGGCTGCTCACTGTTAAAAAACAAAACAAAAACCCTAATGTCCCCCCTCCCGACAATGGGGGACCTATCGTTCCCCCCCACGGCCCCACCCATGAGCGGCGGGTGCGGCCCTAAATGGAAATGGGGGGACCTATTGACCTCCCCCCACCCCCCACCCATGGGCGACGGGTGGGGGCCAAGTGTAAATGAGGTCCCCAAGCCCCTAGTCACCCCTCCCACCCAAAAAAAATAATAAAGTCCTACCTACCCCCCTAACCCTAAAAATAGTGAGGGGGGGGAATAAAACTAAATCCCTGTAAATAAAAAATAACCTACCTGTCTTCTTATTTTTAAAATCTTCTTTTTTCAGTCCCAAAAAAGACCAAATAAAAATCCATTATACTAGTCGAACTTTGAAAATAAAATAAAAAACCAGAGAGCAAAAAAAAATCTGACTGAAAAAAATCCCCAACGCTAAAAAAGTCATCCATCTTCACCCATGGAGGGCACGGCGCAGAATGAGCTGCGCAGGGCGGGGAAAGGCTTGTAAAGCCTTCACACGCCCTGCAATTAGGCTTAGAGCACTCTGATTGGTTGATTCCAAGCCAACCAATCAGAGTTCTCTGACAGGTAAATGAAGAGACTGACAGGTAAGTCTCTACATTTACCTGTCACAGCACTCTTGTTGGTTGGCTTGAAATCCAACCAATCAGAGTGCTCAGTGTCATTTTAAACAGCGTGGGAAAGTTCATTGGAATTTTCCCATGCTGTGTAATTTGACTCATAGCAACACTCTGATTGTTTGCTTTCAAGTGGGGCACGGGTGGGGGCTTGGGGGACACACTAGTCCCCCCCGCTAGTTAATAGATGTCCAAACATGGGGGCATTTGTTAGAGGGGGGGGGCTTTTTTCTTTTTTTCAACAGTGAGCAGCCACTGGCTGCTCACTGTTTAGTAGACATGCCCCTACTTGCGGCATAGCGATGGGGCATTCGGGAGATTTTAATCTCTCTTATGCTAATATGCGGGTCATATTGACCCCCATTGAGTGAGGGAGGACATGGGGGGCTTAGGAAGTGTCAGGAAGCACTGCTCGCCGCCGCTTATATTTTTACATATTACAAGGAGGGAGCTGCGTGGTATCTCCCTCCTTGTAATAAACCAAACGAACGAACGAAGAGGTCTTTCTGACAAATTAATGGATTGATTAATAGATGAAATGCCTGTTCAAATGCCCAAGTGTTTAACTGGACATGCGCGGGAATCTCACAGCGCTATCTAGTGTGGGCAAGTGACGTGTCCCACAGGGACTTCACCTGCCCACACAAAGATGGTGGCGTCCACTACCTAAGTCCTGGTACAAAATAAAGATGCAAAAATAGGTAATATGGGGGGCTTAGAGGCTTTTGGAGGTTCTTAGGGGGACAATAAAATGTAGTGGAGTCAGGAGGGGGTTAAAAAAAAACTGGATTTGGCCCTGACAGTGCCGCTTTAATTCTTGGTCTCTTGCAGCTCGATTTGTTAGTGCACATAGAGCCAACATAAGCAAAAATAAAATGTACACTTGTATTTCTTTTAAAAGATCCGTGTGAATAACTACTCTCACTCGCAGTATCAGAACGTAGTATACGTAATGTACGGCTCCAGTTTAATAATTTTCCTGATGGAAAGTCTTCAAAGTGGCAATAATATTAAATACGTCAAGCCAGCCCTGTGTTAATCAATGGGAAACTGAGAATCTGCTGTTGCTACTTAATCAACAGTCTGTTTGGAGGCTTATTGTTACGTAGTAATGTAGTCATAGGGTTGCAATCAGATCCAAAGGTCATCCCTTAGAGAATTATGGGAGCTATTAGTGATTGGCTTTCTAGTAGTGACTGCCAGTAGCTCCCATTTGCTACATGTGAAATTGACAGACGTTAAACAGCCACTGTTTGCTAGAGGTAACAAAGGTACTTATAAAGAAGCAACTGACAGGTTAAAAGTAGCAACAGGTATGGAAAAAGCCAGCCAGGAATGGAATTTCTGATGTCAATGTATCCAGTTTCCAAGGTACGTTGCTTAGTGTATCTAATACCATTCCCTGCTGCTAATCGATTTTTCTTTATGTGAGTTTTCAGCTTGATCTTCTATGTCAGTATAACTGATTGCACACAGATACTAGTAAATGTAATTTTATCATAACTTTTCCAAGTGCAAAAATTTTTTAACGTTAAGCTTTGAAAAATCAAGGGGTTACTGTTCCTTTGTCATTTCTCCGTCATTCATAATTTGAATAAAAACATAATGAATTTAAGTTTCAATGTATTACAGGGTATTAATGTAAGTAGAATTGACGTAGCTTGGGGTCAGTTTATCATAAAGCTTTCTATACATATTTAAATTTGCTATTTGGTAAGTCATGTGCGCTTTCATTTCTAAATCATTTTGCGAGTGCCATTTTTAAAATACCTTGAAGCTTTATATGTGGGAAACAATAACAGTTATATTAATCGCAGTAATGCACTGCAACAAAACATTGTAATCATATTTTGGCATAAGTAGTTTGACTATTGTATTGACTTTCCTAGCATAACACAGATTTAAAATGAACGTCAAGGCAAGTCTGTTGTAATTAAGTCAACACTGACTACATTGTTGACTTGGAGCAATGTTCCAATCCAAACTGGGGATTTAATGCCTTGGGCAAAAGGAAACAGGCCTTGATAGGAAAATGAACCATTTCGTCACAATTACTGATGCCAACAAGCAACCACACCTATTAAACTCCTTTCCTGCCAGTTTAGAGACAAGGGAGAACGTCTCTTGATGATGAAGCTAATGGATTCAATTCCATCAGTCAACATATTTTTGGCATTCCAAGAGGATAACATCAGTCTTACATTGAAAGGAAACATATTGATATATGTTCTTATTCGTTATATGTTTTTATATCTATTGGAGACATCATAATGAATGAGGGTCAGGACCACTCAATATATCCAATAAGCAAATAAACTGAGGCCATAGCTGTACTAAGGAGATAATTCATATTTTGGTGTATCTGCAATTGCCATTCACAGAGACTGCTCAATAGACAGAGGACGATGTAGCTATCTGCTGTTCATTGGTAATCATGGGACACAGGAAGGTTATTTATTATTATTAATACTTTTTAACAGTGTGGTTTACAAGTGGGTCTTATATTTTAAATAATAAAAAAAATGCTTTACTACTTTTTGGATACATTGTAGTGTTTATCAAGCAATCTTAACTATCGGTCTTTGCTTTTTATTGCACGTGAATGAAAAAAATTAAGCCTGAAGCTTGCTGGGCAAGAAGACTATTATAGGAGCATTGAGATAGATATTGCGATAAGTGCTACTCTTACTACTTGTGTGGGTGTACTATGCGTCTTTTGTTTACTTTTTTGAGGAACTTATTACTCAGTGAATGTCTTGTTTTCTTGCTAAATTCTTTAGGGACAGATGTAAGCTCAATCTTTTCCCCATAAATCAAGTCTCAAAAGCCTCCTATTGAACTGTGTCTAAACTACCACAGGTACATCTGCTCACTGCTTATCTTCTGTCCAACTTATCCAATGACTCTTCACCATATTATTGAATGATGTCTGTGGCGAAAGCCGCCTCGCCACTGGACATTGGAGAGGCCTGGCTGCCCGCCTCCTACCTGCTGACTATGGCCCCTGGTAAATTTTACTTTTGAATGCAATATTAGGGCATGTGGTATTTTATATTGCTGCTACTGGCCCTTTAAGGGCCATCCGTGAACATATTATGACTTTTTGGGAACAATATCCCTTTAGGATATCCCAATAGACTTTGTAGCAGATTACAGTAAGGATGTCTTTTATATTATGTATGTTTCTGTGTGTTTGGCTAAATTGTATATGTGTATGCAGCATTGCCCTGATTGTTCGGTAGAATCACTCCATTCATTATATTGAGTGAATCTACCAAACAACCAGTCCACCCAAGAATAAGTGTGCCTCCAATTACTGTTTGCAACAATGTTGCAAACGGGTAATTGGCAATCTATGTAATGTGATCTTTGTCCTCTGGGTGGCCGCCATTCGGGAAACGAACACATGGCGGCGGCCATCTTAAACTCCCGAACAGCGGTGTTTTGCCGTTGAGTGTCTGGAACTAAAATCGGACACTCGACTAGGCAAACACCGCTGAGACCTCCAGACTTCCAGCAATTTGTGCAGAAACTACCAAACGGCCCACATTTAAAGGGGTAACCCTATGTTTAGGGGTACATCCTGTAGCCCCATGTAGCCAAAGCGCAGCTAAGCGAAAAAAGGCCTTGACAGGGGTTAGGAGGCGGGCATAGGAGGAGGGAAGGAAGTAGGGAGTTATGGGTAAGTAGGCTTGGCTATTTAAATAGGCAGCCATTTTAAAGCCTTCACTTTTAATTACTACCTTGCTGAGTTTGTGTGCACTCCTGTGTCCACAGATTTGGTTTGGTGGGGTCTTTGTTTTTCTCTCCTTCTGCAGGGTCGGAGGATAACATGGAGGAGCTGTTGGAGCGGATCTGGTTGGCGGCTCAAGGACGTGGCGTGGACTGGCTGCGGGCGCAACTTGGACCAGCCCTGGCGGGTGCTGCGGATCATGAGGGCGGCGGAGGTCGGCCTGTGCGGGCTCGGAGGCCGCCGAGACGGCTGAGCCCAGGCGCGGAGTCCGGTGGAGACGGTTCCAGCGGCCGGGCGGCGGCGGGACCAGGCCGAAACGGACCCGGTAGCCGCATGGTTGAGGCTCCGCCTCCCGGCGCGTTACCGGGACGTCGGAGAAGCGGTAGCCGGCGGGAGGCTACCCGGGAGTCGGACGGTGCAGCTCCCAGTGCGGGGAGGGCTGCGCCTGGAGCGGGGGCCGCGGGAGACATCGGGCGGCCCCCTGGAACCGGTGAGGACGCGGGATTGCAGCCCGGGAGGGCATCTACTACACCCATGGCGGGGACTGGCGGGGCCGGTGCGGAAGGAGCTCGCGGACCGCCCCTGGAACAGGCAAGTGCAGGGGCTTCCGGCCGGGACCCCCTTGGCGCGAATCAGCGCAGGAGAACTGGGCACAGGGTTCAGAGACCTGGGGGGGACGTGGAGAGGGGTCAGGTGCCTTCTAGAGCGGGGGCAGGGAGGTCTAGGGGGGAGGGTGCGCAGGGTAGTTCCAGGGTAGTGAGCTTGGAGCGAGGGCCAGTAGCCGGGAGGGTGGAAGGGCCAGGGGGTACGGCAGGGGGAAGTTTGCCATCAGGGGGGGGCAGGAGGTCGAGGTGCGCAGGGCGTTCAGGACAGGTTAGGGGTGCGGGGTCTGGGGACCGGCTGGAGGTACCGAGGGGAGGGGGTGCTTCTAGTCGGGGGGCCCGCCGGGGTGGGGGGTGGGGATTTCCCTGCGCTGGTGAGCAGATAGGTGGGCGTAGTTCTGGGGGGGGTTCAGGTTTGGGGTCAGGTGATAGCAGCCCGTCACCGGTTAGGGCCCGGGGGTCCGGGGGGTTTAAGGGAAGGGCTCGGCGTGTTAGGTCCTCATCTAGTAGCTCAGGGGGGGAGAGTGTCATGGCCCCCAGGCTGGTTACACGGGGGCGGGCCTCTGGTAGAAACGGGAGGAGTCGTAGTCCCAGAGGCAGGGCCGATCGGGCCTTGGGTGGGCGAAAAGGAGTGGTTGCGCGACGGGAGGCTCTGGTGTCCAGCGGGCGCTCTCAAGGTCGGGACGGGGGGGCTGCTCATGACCAGTATGCTCTGCCCAGGACTTCTTCTCCTCGTTACAGATCTCGGAGCCGCTCCGCATCTGATGTGGCTGGGCACCGGGTTGGCTCCCCGGTTGGAGGATCGTTAACGGATGTCGCTCATCCTGGTCAGGGGACAGTACACAACGCAGCCCCAGGAGCTTTGGGGTCGAGGGGCTTGGCCGGTGAGTCCTCTGCTTCTCTGCACTCCAGTGCATTGGTTCACACACTTCAAGCACTTCTCCACTCACTGGGAGCGGGGGGTGCCACAAAGGGCGGTGTGGGGCAGGTTTGGGCTCAGGGGGCCGGGGTGGCGGGCCCGAGCGAGGTTCCCTCCGCGGAACAGAGTTCGGGTGGGGACACTGCAGTGACGGTTACTGGGGCGGAGGCGACGAGCGAGCGGGCTGAGTTGACGGGGGGGGTGGTTCCTGATGCGGCCAGGCAACACGCATATGTGTCGTTTGCGGGTCCGCTGGGGGTCCACCTCAAACAGGAGGTGAAGGAAAAAATCTGGAAGGGTGACTTCTGCGAGATCTTTTCTCTTCTCCCTTTGGAGGATTTTATTGATCTCAAAGAGGACGATAAAAAAGATGAGAAGAAGGAGGAGGAAGAGAAGAAGAAGCGGTATCGTAAGATTCCCAAGTCTTTCGGTAACTGGCTGAGGGCCTTTTGCGTGTTGGCCAGTGTTCTGGGCGAGAAATCGCCGGGCCTGTGCTCCTCTCTGTTTTGTTATTTGGATGGCATTTGGGAGGCGTATCGCACCTATGGCGGACTGGCATGGTGGCGGTACGACGAGCAATTCCGGCAGCGTTTGGCGGCTAATCCGGGTATGCGGTGGGATCAAATGGACCTGCCTCTCTGGATGAAGCTGATGATGGCGCAAAAAGCGCAGCCATTTCAGCCCACGGCCGGCGCAAAGGGGCAGTCCGCCTCTTTAACGAGGGCCAGTGCAAATGGGGAAACGCCTGTCGCTTTAAGCACGAGTGTTCGGGCTGCGGAGGCGCGCATGGGCTCAACCGGTGCTTCAAAAAAGGGAAGTCGGGGCACACCGGGGTCCCCACCTCGGCTGGAGGGGGAGGGGGAGTTTCGCTTGCCCCGGGGCCTAACCCCGGTGAGGCTAGACGCGATGGAGCCGTGGCTAAGCCGCTACGGTAATAAGGCAGATGCCGTGGCGCTCCGGGCGGGGTTTGGTCAGGGGTTCTTTATCCCTTTCCGGAACCGGGGGGGGACTGGGGTTCGGCGCAACCTTAAATCGGTGGCTGAGTTCCCGGGTGTGGTGCGGGAAAAACTGGGCAAGGAAGTCAAATTGGGGAGGATGGCAGGGCCGTTCCCGGCTCCTCCATTGGAGGGTCTGCGGGTTTCCCCGCTCGGGGTGGTTCCCAAGAAGGAGCCGGGCAAATTCAGGCTCATTCACCACCTCTCCTACCCGGAAGGAGAGTCGGTGAATGATGATATTGACAAGGGCTTGTGCTCGGTCTCATACGCATCATTCGACAGGGCGGTCGAGCTGGTAAGGAAGGCCGGGCGCGGAGCACTGTTGGCTAAGGTGGATATCGAAGCAGCGTTTTGGCTGCTTCCGGTCCACCCAGCGTGTCATCACTTGCTGGGGTGCTTCTTCGACGGGGGGTACTTTGTGGATTTGTGCCTTCCAATGGGTTGTGCTATCTCCTGCGCCTACTTTGAGAAATTTAGTACTTTTCTTGAATGGGTGGTCAAAGTTGAGGCGGGGAGTGGGGCTGTGGTACACTACCTGGACGATTTTCTCTGTGTAGGACCGGCGGGCTCCCCCGCCTGCCTACACTTGCTGAGAACGGTCGAGTGGGTGGCTGGCCATTTCGGGGTCCCGCTGGCGGCGGACAAGACAGAAGGGCCGGCTCAGTGCCTTAGTTTTCTGGGGTTGGAGATAGATACGTTACAAGGGGAGTGTCGGCTGCCGTTGGAGAAGTTGCGGCAGCTGAAGGAGGAAGTGACGACGGCGGCTCAAGCCCGTAAGGTTACATTGCGGCAGCTGCAGTCGTTGATCGGGATGCTGAATTTTGCATGCCGGGTGATCCCAATGGGTAGGGTGTTCAGCCGGAGCCTGTCGGCAGCGACGGCAGGGGTGCGATCCCCGCGTCACTTCATTCGGGTGTCGTCGGCCGACTTGGCCGTATGGGAGACCTTTTTGCGGGAGTTCAATGGGACGGTGATTTTTAGACAGGAGGGCGTGTCGGCTGCGGAACTGGAGCTGTTCACTGACGCGTCTGGTAGCGTGGGCTTCGGGGCTTATTTTGGGGGACGGTGGTGTGCGGAGCGATGGCCGGGGGAGTGGCGACTGAGCCCCCTCATGCGGAACTTGGCTTTCTTGGAGCTGTTCCCGCTGGTCGTTGCATTGGCCCTGTGGGGGGATAGGCTGCGGGACCGGAAGGTGGTCTTTTTCTCGGACAATATGGCCGTGGTGCACGCTGTGAATAACCAATCAGCGGCATCAAAACCCGTGGTTAGGTTGCTACGTCATTTTGTTCTGTTGTGCATGTCGCTAAATGTTGTTTTTCGTGCACGCCATGTGCCTGGGTTCATGAATGATGTAGCTGACGCCCTGTCTCGTTTTCAGTGGTCACGATTCCGGACGGTGGCGCCGGAAGCCCAAGAATTGGGGCAGGCTTGCCCAGACGAAATTTGGCGGCTCGGGGCGACCTGCTTGGGGGACTGGTGAAGGCTTCGCTGGCGCCGGCCACATGGGCCGCTTACAGTAAGGTCTGGGACTCCTGGGAAAGGTCATGGGAAGGGTTGGACCGCCTGCCGGCGGGGGAATCGCTCAAGGATGCGTTCCTCTGGTACACCTGTCAATTTCTGGCGAAAGGGGTATCCTCGGCGGTGGTTGACAGGTCCATGGCGGCGATGGCTTTCTGGTTCAAGCTACATGGGGAAGAGGACCTTACTAAGGCCTTTGTCATAAGGCAGGCACTGAAGGGGTACCGGCGGGGCCGCAGGCGGCCTGACACTTGGCGCCCAGTATCGGTGCGAGTGTTGAGTGACCTGGTCGGTTTATTGCCTACTATATGTTTCGACAGGTTCGAAGCATCATTGTTTCAGGCGGCGTTTCTGTTGGCCTTCTTTGGAGCCTTTCGGGTAGGGGAGTTGGTCAGTGCCACGAGGACTGTGGCAGGAGGGGTACAGGTGTCGGGGGTCCGAGTGCTGGAAGGGAAGGTGGTTGTACACCTGGCAAGATCCAAGACGGACATGTTAGGCAAGGGCCGAGATGTGACGCTGCGGGCCCTGCCGGGCT